AAAAAGTAGACTACCTGTAATATGACAGGTGACTTTAAAGTAAACAGAATATCATCTTACACCCCGCTTTAAATACCTTAACTTGATAGCAGCTGATCATTTAAAAAAAAAAAAAAAGATCGATCCCTCAAATTCCTAAACTAAATTATGCATAAATAAGATAAAAGTGGCTATTTACATACATACATACATACATACATACATTAGTTGACCACTCCCCATGGGGGCTTTTCAGGGTCAATTCCCACCCATCCCACCCCAGGGGAGGACATCCACGACACAGTAATCTTGTGCGTGGGAAATTAACATCTCCTACCCCTAACCCTGCAGGAGACGGGGCCTACGGTTTATTTGTCCATATCTGAAGACTAGAATATCTATCCATTTCTTGATTATAGAAAGGTAGCAAATTCTCCTCACTTATTTTAAGACCATGAGTATCGGTCCGGCCACAACAAAGCACACCTTACTTAGAATTTATTTAACATGTAATTCAATAAAAATATTTCACCTCCAGCTGTTTTTGTGTGCCTTGATGAACTGCGTGACTTTGCTCTGGAATAAGCTTGGCCAAGCCCTACATTGGCACCATTGACATATAAAGAGAAGCCTTGTTCCTTTTTCTCCAATTCAATCTGTTGCTCATTCTTCTCCTTTAGTTTCTTAAGAAGTCTGTAAAGAAAGAGAAGGAAGAAATCTGCCTTTAATTATGAAATTCACTCGTAACAAAGTAAATAGAATTAAATGGTATTTTTTTTCTGACTGGTAGAGGTAATTCTGAGTGGTATCAATTGAAAATGGAATAAGCTTAAACAGAGGCACCAAGCTCTAATTACATCCAGCATCACATCCAACCTGTTCAGTTTCAAAAGAGATTGAGAAATATAATATAAAGGGGTTTCCTTCAAGTGCACTAAAAGTTGCTTGCCTGTTGAGCCAATTTACCAGTGTCCTGGACGAGAAGATGGAATTTTTTCCTAGCCCTGTTACGGTACTTTACTCTACATCATTAGGTGCAGGTTTGAGCCATGAAATTTCTCTGCTAGAAAATGGTCCTTTTATCTTTTTCATAACATATATTCTTGTCAGTTTAAAATTAAATTTCTTGTTGCCCAAACTCTTTTCAACCTGGATGTACCACTTATGGTGGTCAAGAAAGAAAATTTTGAGCAATTAGACCACAAGGATAAATATTTAAGATGACTTGTATTTTATGTATTATCTGTATATTATATGGCAGACCTTGTTGTAGGCCTTTATTTCAGCTTTGCAAATAAGACAAGAAGTACATTATTTCAAAGGTTCAGTATGCACACTTAAACATATCAAAATTACAAGAAATCTGTACTTTCAAAAAGATAAAAGGACCATTTGCTAGCACACAATATTTCAAAGCAGAAGAGCACTGTGTCATGGCATAGGAGGTTGCTGAAGTTGCACAATATTTCATAACTTTATGACAGATTCTCTCTATTTACAGTCAGTGGCTCTTAAACTACCTATTTCTCTGCTGCAGCAAAAGCAAATATTCTTCATACTCTGGACGGACTTCTTCTTTTGCAGATGTAACCTGGTTAACAGTAAAAAACCACAATTAAAAATAGATCATGCAAGACCATAACAAAAAATTGACTAGAACATTAAAGGTAACTTATCTCAAATATCACATTCCTGATGTTAGTTCTTACATTTTTACCAGTAATTACCAGACAGAAAAGACCTTCATGAAAAAGGAATATAGTAAACCTGATGTTCTTTGATATGCAAAACTCAATCAATAAAATACCTCTTCTCTAAGCTTTCCTTGCTTTCCTCTTGATTTATCCCACTTTCCATGATAATCTTATAAATCAAAAAGTCAAACAATAAGCCAAAGTTTACAGAGGATTTTTTGGTTACTGTTTTGAATCCTGTGTTCTTAACTTATTGGCAAACCAGAGCAGACAAGGTGGATATCACAATTATCAATTTTGGTCTTAAAGTGGTTTTTGATTTATTTTAGACTTCAAAAAATGGGTGTCCTCCTCTTTTTTCTCATTTTGAAGGACCTACCCTTCATCTTAATCCATAAAAATTAAAAAAAAAAAAAAAAAACCTGGCCGATGCACAGCCGCCTTCCTCATCCTTAGTCAATAACACATAGAGAGTCAGACACTCCATGTACTTGTACTGTATTTGCATAATAGGTCAAAGTGGCCATATTCCCAATAAATCCTATTTGAACAATAATTCCAAATACCCTAGGAGAGTTATTATCAACCCTTACACTTCTGTTTTAAGCAATTTTACTATTTATTCTTCCACCTGCCAGACATCTCCAATATTACGATAACAAAAAACTAATTTCCAATTAATATTCATTTTTGACTGTACTTTCATCACAAACTCATCAACAATCACATTGCAACACTTCTGCAAATCTCCATGAGTGACCAAATGAGGACTTTCTCATCACATTATCAGTAAATGTTTTAAGATAGTCGCCAGAAGAAACAAAAACCAGAGGATGTTGCGATTGAGTAAACATGGTGTTATCCTCAACGACACAGACCATAAATATATTCATGCCTTTCCTTTCAGTAACCTGTGATGAGTGAATTGGTGAAAACGCAGGTTCGTTGACCCATGGACACTGGCAGATGGCACTTTAAAGCCAGCTAACAGCTACTGAATTCAGTGGATTCCCATTATCTAAAGCCTCCTGGGAACCACCAAACTATGGCTCGAGTTGTCGGGTATTAAAGGTATGACAGGGTAACTGACTCTGACCTAAGTCTGCCCACTAAGAGCCCAATGTGCAACACAACGCGAGCGAGGAGATCTCAGAGTTTCAAGATAAAAGGATTATTCTGCTCAAAGATCAAACATCAATGAAACCACGTCAATAAAGGACAAGTGACTGGTCTTTACAACCCCACATATACAACTTATACAGAATGAGGACTAATTACTCTGTAAATAACGCAATATGGATCGCTCGGGGAACAGAAATGCGGTATAAAGTCAAAAACACAAATTTCCTAACTTTAAAATCTTCATCAAAGCGAGTAAAGAACTGTATTATACACTTTCCACAAGGAAAGTAAAATGTATACATCGTATATGTGAAACCACGGAAACAGAATAAGTTTTCCACTCATTTAGCACAAAATATCCAGCTGTCATTGACACAGATTTTCAATTTACAAGACTTGCCTTCCATGCCTTGGCTTGGAGTTTCCAAAATCTAGAAGATTATCTGAGTCTTTCTGTTTTTCTGGCAATATTTATCATCGCGAACTGAAAAAAATTGACGCCAAATTTTCCAAAACACTTACAATATTCGCGGTGATTTACCTATGGCTAGGTTACCAAGTATTCTAGTGCATTTTGGGAAATCTTAGAAATCCCGTGACTTCTCGCACCGTCTGCGCGTTGTCCCGTTCTCTAGCGCCTCTCAGAGGACAAATTATCGAAAGTAAAACGAATATGATTGACAGAAAGAATGTGCATTAAAAAAGTCATAGAGTAACTTTTGAACGAGTGTCGGAGATATTCTAGGAGTGAAGAGTGAAAGTTGCTTATGACGCTGTGGTGCTGCATCGGTGGGTCTTACAAAAATTAATATTGTAATTTGGCCACCGCAACGAATTTCTATAGCTGGCGTTTTGAGCGTTAACCCTCCGTCATAGCGATGGAGTGAATTTGTTTTGTTTTACTACGCATTATGAATATTAAAAAAAAAAAACCGCTCGACCCACTCAGCCATTGAGAATGATTGGGAATTGTGCACGTCCGCCGGGAAGTGAGGCATATTGCGTTATTTAGAGTAATTTGTCCTCTTTCTTGTCTTTTAATTAAAAACCTGGAGGAGAGTTTTCACAGATAAAACGCCAAGGCTGAAATGAAATTTTAAAAATGCAAAAAATTATTTTGCCCTCCGTAGAACACATGGGACTTAATAGCATCATGGATAATCACTTTCCTTGTTAGTCTTATCAACATGAATCACAGTTTTTCCCTTCGCATTTCCACCATTTATTTTGTATCAAATTTCATTTTAATTCTTCCTTCGATTGCATGCGCTAATAACATGGTTTTCGTATTTCCTTTATCTCTGTAATGAAAACGCTTTCCAAAAAGGAAAATTTTAATATCATTCACAATGAAGGATCGCGGTAATCACACAATCACTTAAATACCTTTGTCTTTTTACATAATTTAAGTGTCAACTAAAGTTCTAATTTCCTTTGCAACTAATGACCCTGTCAATCAAAAGCTCTCTCGATGATTAACTATGCTTTGAATGGTATCCACCTTGTTTAGTGGAGAGGCCAGTAATCCTCTAGTGATAACAGGAATATGTTAACTACACTTATTCTCTAAAGCACAAGAAAACACAAAACGTTTATTTTTGACTTTGCTCACCTGCAATTTGCGGAATCGACCGATACTTCGACAAGTTCTTCACACGTTCTTAAACCGGCCAAACCAGTGAAAGATTGACGCCGGTCACCAAAGAAAAATGCTGCTTATAAATGCCGTGAAGGGGGGAAGAAAGACACAAGTTGAAATGCTCCTAAAAGTTGGCGTAGATGTTAATGAAGTGGACGAATACCGACAAACGGCCCTAATACACTCCTGCTTTCTTCCTGATATCCGCACGCGAATGAAGATTTTGAAATGTTTAGTTGTTGCAGGCGCAAATATTAATAAGAAGGACAACTATGGACGCACAGTACTTTCGTGGGCTTGTCTACAGGGAAAACTCGAGGTGGTCAGATTTCTTTTGAATGATCCACTTTGTATGGATCTAAGAATCGATATCACAGACAACGATGGGAATAATACTCTCTTACTCTCTGTAATGTCTGGCAATTTTCTAGTCGTTAAAATGATGTTAGAGACATTAAAAGGTACAGCGAGAGCAACTGAGCTTAATAAAGCTAACAACGTTGGTATGCAGCCCTTAATAGCTGCTTTCATTCGTGGCGATAAAGTCTGTGCTCATTTTCTTATAAAACAGGCGGGATCTTCTTTTTCAAGTGCGCTGAAGTACCTGAGAGCTCTTCAATACGATTCAGTCAAGTTTTGTACAAGATCAGCGCTTTTGTTTGACTCTTCAAGAACTAATTTCCATATTGATCGAGAACAAACAAAAAAACTTTTGGCGGATTTCACTGAGGACGACATTTTTGAGTTTCTGTTTGCAAAGGATGAAGATAAGCACGATATACAGACAGGCAAAACTGAAGAATTTCAAAGTGACAAGAAAAGCTCTGCCCCGCATCAACAAACTCATATCGTTAAGTCTCGATTAAGAAAACTGGGGTCTGTTTTAGTTATTCCAAGTGAAAAGCCAATTTCAGCGCAGTCATTACTTACAGAAGACGTCACCGAAATGAAAAGTCTCGATGACCCAGCGAACAGCACTTTCGCAGCATTGACTGATCAAAAAAGGTTAACGCGGGGCTCTATCCCATCCTCGCGCTTGTCAGTTCAAAAACTCTTGACGCTTTACGCTGAGCAAAACTCACCTTCGTACAGACAAGGCTTACCTATTCGAAGATACACTCCTCCCCAACCTGCGATCGTAAACGAGCCTAGTGCAGATTGCGACTCTCGGCGCTCAAGTGTGCTTCCATTGGGTGAGACTGAACGACGGGTCCAGGCGTTGGCGGAGTCAATGGCTGGGTCTTCATCAGGCCTTCTTGGTGAATCTGTGATGGATCAGCATCTCCGTTTGAAATATGCGCGTAATTCAAGAGCCACCAGTATGCAAGTTCAGAAGTTGCCGTCCCTTTCCAATGCGGGACGGGGAAGGGTCAAACGTACCAAGTCGTCGACTATTATGTCTGTTAAACCGTTTTAAAGGAACACTGTCGGTGAATAGCCGGTAGTTCAGCAAACATCAAGAGAATAAAATCATAACAAAAATCTTTATGCCATTTCATAATTTTCACTCTCTTAACATTGGGTTTTTCTATTCCATGGAGGAAGGACACGAGTAGAGGAGTAGTCAAATGATTATTTAGAGACAGTCCCCCGTCCATCTCTATTGTTTCTCGTTCTCTTCTGGCTCCATGAATTGCGCTCACTTAATATAAGCCTTTCTTTCTCAATTTTTATTATATTAAATTCAAAATAATTATTATTGATTACAATTTAAATTCTTTAATTATTTATCAGTAAAATTAGTTCGATAGCCGGAACAGACATAAAAAATCGATGGAGTGGTCTGGAGAATCTCACGGTTTCCGTTGCGCACTTCTGTAAACTTTATTGTGAAAGGCAAACAAATTAAAATCCACGACTTGCCACAACACGTGTCACAACTAGCTTTCCTTCTCGCACAAACGAGACAGAACTGACTTCTAACATAACCCTTAAAGATCAAAGTTTTTGTAACACGAAAGAAAGAGAGCACCTCAAGTTGGTACATCAAAAAATGAACGATAACTCTCTGACGCTACAAATAGTCAATATACCAGGAACGGTGCTAAACGGTGCTATCAATTTCCGCTTCTGAACACTTTTGCGACTTCCAACATCAGCCTCATAGTCTGTTCCGAGCTTCTCTCTTCCCTTTCGTGATCCAGTCTGGTCATCTGCAGTAAGAACTCTCTATCTTTTCTATCACTTTCTTCCATATAATCTCTGAGAAACTGAAGTGGTTTACCGTTGTCGTCTTGAGCCGAGCTATCGTTGACCCTTTTTCTGCTCTCTCTGTTCAATGGCGTCTCTCGAGTATCTCCTGCGCGAGGAGAACCCATTCCATGTTCAGAGGCAAACCGTGCATCCCCACTATGATGGTGAGGGACAGAACTCATACCAGTTCCCTTGTGGTTATCGGGTGTATTAGCAACACTACTTTTAAACACTTTTGCTATTTCCATCATCATTTTCATTGTTCGTTCAAAATTTCTGTCCTCCCTTTCATGGTCTATTCTTGCCATTTGCAATAAAAATTCCCGATCTCGCTTGTCGCTTTCCTCCATGTAGTTTTTAAGGAAACGCAGCATGGACGCGTCTTCGTCCTCTTCTGTTGAAGCCTTTCTCTTACTTTTTTTCTTAGGTGGTTCACGCCTCATTAACAGCTCTCTTTGTTCAGGCAGTGACCGGCTGGCTTCGCTGACACCAGTTAATCCAGTAGTCGTTTCCACGCTTAGTGAACCACTTGTTGGGATGTTAACCACTACAATGTCTTCGCAATCGTTGTTTTCTTCATTTTCTCCATTTGTACTCGACTTTCTCTCGTCCTCTTGAGTTACCGCTGAACTGGACTCGATACCATCTATGCCGTTGTTACCAAACGTCTTCCCCAGCACCTCGTCGATCTCGTGAAAATATTCGCAAGTTCTATCATCCTCGCCAGAGTCGATGCGCTTTTTAGTGGTTTTATAATCGAAAACGACACTTTTCATTCGTCCTTTGCACTGCTGACCCGAGCGAAATGTTTCAAAGCCGCACTGAGCAAGTTTCTGATTCAGCAACCGCGCCACCACGTCCCAGGCCTTTGCGTTCCTCTGCTGACTGATGTTCTGGTACTCCTCCGCCCAGAACGTGATAAGAAACCGCGTTTCTGCGTCCGACCAGTTGGGGGAGCGCCCCGGTTTGATTGGCATTGCTGAAATAAACGAGTCTGCAGGACTGGATGAGTGAGCGGCGGACGGAGAGCCTTGTCCATCGAAAGAGATGCCTGTGAAAGCGCCGAAGCGGGACTCTGTTGCCTGCTCAGGGAATTTCGAGTTGATTACCTTAGACTGAGACAAAGCGCTTCTCTCTAGTGCCAGCATTTCGGAGCTGAAGCGGCCGTGTAGTGGTTGACCTGGGCCGCCTGTTTTATCGCTCCCCGATGGAGATAGCATTGAGGCAGTGAACTGACTGGAAAAGAATAGAAAAAGAAACGTTAAGTCTAACTTGAGATTCACCGCTCAATACGACTAGTTGTATTTGTAGTGACCGCTTCACGTGTATCATACTAAGGAGGGCTAGGAGGAGAAGGAGGGTTCTTATAGCACAGTGGCAACTCGAAAAAAAGACAAGTCATAAAAGACTTTTAACAATATATATATATATA